CCTCAACAGCAAGCGCCAGATCGCAGTGGGCACTCCCAGACCTCAACAGCAAGGGCCCAGATCGCAGTGGGCACTACCGGGCCCCACCAGCAAGCGAGCAAGGGCCAGATCGCAGTTGGCACTACCAGACCCCACCAGCAAGCGCCAGATCGCAGTGGCCACTACCGGACCTCAACAGCAAGGGCCAGATCGCAGTGGGCACTATACCGGGCCCCACCAGCAAGCGCAGGATCGCGGTGCTCACTACCGGACTTCAACAGCAAGGGCCAGATCGCAGTTGGCACTGGACCCCACCAGTAAGCGCCAGATCGCAGTGGGCACTGCCGGACCTCAACAGCAAGCGCCAGATCGCAGTGGGCATTACCAGACCTCAACAGCAAGCTGAAACAGAACCACGCAAACAGAAGAAATGAACCAAAGTGTTCGAGAGGTGGAGAGTCACTATCCCTGTGAGGAGAGCACTCAGCACAGGAACAAAGTTGGATATGCAATGGCAACTGCGGACACCGTCGTTTTTGCAAGAGATGCAGATCGGCAAGAATGGTTGCAGCATGATCGTGGGCACTTTGCAACTTTCCGCATTTTTGCACCGGCAACAAATGTAAGGAGCTTAGTCATGATGGCCGAGCATTCTTGTGGTTTATCACTGTTTGTCACACCATCATCCATATGTTTGTTTTCAGCAAGAGCGCCACATGAGCCCACCCAGGCTCCAGGTGACGATGAAAATGTCAGTTTCCGAGAAGAAATCCGAGCTCGTCATGGCATCAAACCTAATGACTTTGTCATCACAGTTGTCAATGACCTGTGCCCGCGCATGGAGATGAGTTTTTCTTCGAGCGGAATTGTGCAGACATTGCAGAGAAAATTTCAGACCTCATGGTTTGCTGTGGTTTTTGGAGAATACGCCAGCTCACAGGCGGCTTCATCAGAGAATTTGTTTTTCGCCTCAGATCGCAGAGAACTAGTGAAGTACCTGGCAGCGGCCGACTTGCATGTTCTGGTCTCAGAGTTCAGCTAGTGAAAACATATTTAATGGATACATATGGATACATGTTGATTATTACATGTGAGATTGCTACAGACGGCGCAGGAAACCGCTTGCCCCGGCAAGGCGTTTGCAAGCCTAAACAAACGAAAGGCATCACCACAGATATCCAGTTTGTGCTGAGTTCCTCAGGAAAATTGATCAGCACATTTGTTGAGTCTTGCATTCGACTGCGCTGAAAATACAAGTACATGCATATGAACAAGGCTTGGAACCTCCCTTTACAGCTAGCAAGTATCGTATGCAGCTTGGTTGTGGTACATGCAAAAAGACTTACACATTGAATGGCCTTTCTGAAGAGATGTGGCTACCGATGGCTACCGTAAATGTTGCTAATTTGAGATCTTTGAGCACTAGCGTCGCTAGCGTTGAATGAGGTTGGCTGCAATTGCGCGTGCACACATGTCTTCGAGGCGAGCCTCCTAGCAAAAACACATTGGTAAGCATGCCATCATTTGTTATTCAGCAGCTGACTCTTGTGGAGGCAGACCAGCACTTGCAGCTTGAAATAATATTCTATGCTGCTAAATCCTTGCATCATTCCTTTATAGCCGTTTTTAGCCTTGGGCTTTCAGGTCCCCCCCGCCCAAACCAAGGTGAGCTTGGCATGGCCGGATTTTGCCACAGACACGCTCTATGCCAGATCCTTTGGCGTTCCAGTGCTTATGCCTTTGTCAGAGCTGGCAGGTGAGAAGCTATGCTAGAAACAGCGAAAGTGCGTCGGAAAACACAGTTGAAGAAACTGCAGATAGATTTGTCCTGTACTGGGTTAAACATTTGTGCATGTTGCGCTGGCGGGCATGTTCCCCCTCCTTCTTTTGCAACTAATTATCATCATGTGTTCTCACCCAGGAATTCCATTGACTGCTTCACTTTGCGCACCTTAACGCAGCAGTCTCTTCAGAAAGAGGTTGCAAATGTGATCAGCTTATCTGCTCGCAAGCGGTTCTCTGTGGGAAGGGCAGGACGATTTGCAGTTCAGGCGAGATTCCAGGGACAAGTCGTCACTGTTCGGGTCACGCACTTGATCAATATCCTCCAGTTGTTGCCTCACAAGTCTGGCAGGGCCGAGCCTCGAGTTGGCGTTTTTGTCCAGCTGCATGATCCAAGTCGATGGCATCAATTGTGGCCATGTGTTCGCAGTGTCCTTCAGGCTGCTGGCAACAACAGTGTTGACGTTCTTCTGACCACGACTCAACCCATCCAAACCTTGAGAAGGGCAATGGCAGAGTTATTGGCGTTGAATTCCGGGGCTCTTCGCTTTACCTTGTTATCACGGGCTGAAAACCGAGGTGCGGATATCGGGGTGTTTTTGCAGCAGCTCCTGCTCGCACGTGAGCTGTCACTAGACGCTGATCTCATATTGAAGGTGCACACGAAGAAGAGAAAAGCTTGGCGGGATCTAATGATACAACCTCTCTGCGGGAGTGTTGAAGCAGTGAGGGGCATTATTGACCAGTTCATGGGTGATGATACAGTTGGCATGATCGGCCCCACAAACCTCACTTGGAAGAGAGTGGGTCCCTTCAATCACGTAGCCTTAAACTTGTCCCTTCCTGGCTTTGACAAGCATGCGATAAAGCAAATGGAATTCGCTTGGTCCTTGATGCATGGCCCTGGTGTCGATTTGCCCCCACAAAGAACTTGGTTGATTGTGGCCGGATCCTTCTACTGGATGAGAGTGGGCTTGCAGGTCTGGGAGGAGCAAATTCTTCCCTTAGTCCCACGTCTTTTGTGTTCAATGGGTGTGTATGGACACGGCTGCAGAACTATCCGCTGCCAAGCTGCTTTGGGCTTAGAACGAATTATTCCTACATTGGTTGGCAGGACGCACAAGGTTGCCACACCCTGATGCATTGACACAGAAGACACCTCGCCCTTTGCAATTCCTACATGAACCTACAGCCCTGAGGGCTTGCAGAAGTTCCAGGAAAGCTTCTGAACGTTGAGTTGCTTGACATGGGTGATGCTGAGATATGCTGAGTGTAGCTAGCTTGCCTGAACAAGAGCAGCGACGAAACAGGTTGCGCAGCACAAGCATGATCGAGTGGATAGAACCCTGGTATATTTGCACTAGGCTACACCAAGTGGGTCACAGTCAGGATTTGCTGCCATGTGACATGCGGGTTTGACATGCCAAGACTGCAAGGTCGCAACAAGGCCCACCGAAAAGGAGATCACTGAAGTGTCCGATGCCACGGAGGAGCCAAGCAGTTCCTGGAACATCCTTTAGTGGCGGTGGGCAAGAAAGCTAGGCCATCAAAGTAGTTGGTTGGGATAAAATTGCTCACTAGGTCACTAGGTTCCTGATGGTTCCTTGGTACCAACAAGCAAAATCCCTGTAGGAAAATATTGGAATCACAGCAAAGCAAAATATGGCACAGCTTCGCGCAGCTACTGTAGATATCGAGAGATGTATGCAGTTCCCAGCCCCATTCCATGAATGGTCATTACTGATCCACTGTCAGTCATTGGGCCTGAACAAGTATTGAGGAGATTTGAGGAGTTGGTTTGGGGGGAAGAATAGTCTTGGGCCTTGGGCACCAGCTGGGCACCTGAACAAAAGAGTCGGCTCAGGCTGGGTCAACTTAGAGGACAGCGTTCCTCGGCATTCATCACCCAGTTGGTGGAACGTTGGCTCGATCAGCAATGGCACATTTGGCAACATGATACTCTCTACTTTGTTATTGTCCGATATCCCCAGTCTAATCCTATTTCAATATTTTCCAGAGAAACGGTATGGAAGCCTAGTATGGCAATTGCACAACAATATGTTACTGCACTGTATGGCTTGTTAGTTGCAGTCATGTTTCTTCACCTCTTCCCTCTCCTGTCCTCGTCATCAGCTTCACCAGCAGTTAGTGTTCTATAGTGTTTAAAGCCAGTCTGAGGGCAGCCAGTAGCCAGCTAACGCCAAAGCCGCCCGTCGTGAACCAGTGAGAATGCTTAGGAAGCGAGTGCTGCATAGTGGCCAAATGAGAAAGGTACGTTAAACAAGACTTCTTTGGTGCTCCCTGTCTAAGGCCCTTGATGCCCAATACCCAGCCAAATTACAAAAAGGAACCGACTCCCAGGTCTCCACCTGGCTCCCAAGCAGCAGCTCCGAATTCAATCGCTTCAATAGCTCCGACATGGCATTGGCGCCTCGGTCGGAGATCCTCCTCAGTGAATCAGCGATCGTGGTGCTCATTTTTTAAACGTATGTGTGTGCTGTACATCCAAGAAGTTCTGTATACCGTATACCATATATTTGAACAAGTCTTGCAGAAAAGCCAAAAGCAGCAAAAGGAATTTGATCCGACCAATGTTTGTTGTCGACCTTCGGGGAACCCTTTTCGCCCCCGAAATCCTTCAAGGGCACAAGTGACAAGTGTCACAACTCCAGGTACCCTATCACCAGCCAACTTATGGTGAAGATGCCAAGGCGTGGGCTGGGAGTGGAAGGAGATTGCTTTTGTATGCTTTTGTCGCTTCGGTGTTGCACTTGGTGTGCTTCAAGTTGACGGATTGCCAGGCAGCTGCTGAACGGGCAGCGAGCAGCTCGAGGCAGCTCCTGAAGGCATTGAATGAGTTGAGGCGAGTGGATTCGATCCTGGAGGGCTGTTGCTTGGCTATTTTGGTTGCTTTGGGCTGTCCATACCCTTTGAGGCTCAACATGGCTCAACCCTCACTCTGAATCGTGGCGAATCCTTACACATTGGTCGAGTCAGTTGTGCAAAGTTTTGCATTTGCTAATTCTTCATGTTTCAGATTAATCTGAGAGAACATTGATGTGCAGGGATAAGCCTAAAGCATCTCTATATATATATATATACATGTGGTACCCCCCTGAAATGTCTACCTCTTTTGGTTTGCTAGCATTGGTTTGTTTTGAGGGGTGGTACTATATGTGAAATGGATGCGGTACCCTCCAATTGAGCCTTCCGCCTTTTGAGCTTTTGCCACTCGTCGCATGGGCCCGAGATGGCCATTTGAGCCTTTCCTTTTCACTTGTTTCATGCACCGCCCTTGGCCATGGAAAAGATCGATCGAGCGGTTTGCTGAGACGCCTTTTTACCCCTTTTGAGCTGCAGCGTGCATTTGCAAGCACTGCTGCGAGTTGGTGGCGCGGAGCCTTGCGCCTTTTGCTTTGCAGCTCGGCATGTCCCAGGATGGTGAGACCTCGTATGACTGGCAGTGGGACGATGACGACATGATCCCTGGTCCCTACAACCCCGACGAGGACGACGCCACTGACGAGACGCCGGGCGACCTTGACTTTGATGAGGTCTACGATGACCACCCTTGGCAGTGGACGCCCCGGACGACGAGCTTTGACCAGGACACGAGCGATAGCTCTATGCCCGAACTCCAACGACCTGACGGCTCTGTGCATGTTCCCCTTTGGTTGTGTAGGAATTGCCACAGCACACAATGGAGAACGCATGGAGAGGGCTATGTTTGTTTGGATTGTGGTTGCCCCAACTTGAACGATGCCAACCTTCCTCATAGCCATGATACAGGCTTGGGTTCGTGGACATATACTCCACATGCTCCCCGAGGCGAGACACGCCGTGACGATCCACGACCTGTTGGACATGAAGCCCGAGAGAACGCTGAATCAGAAGTTCCCACTGATGACCCGAGCGTTGATCCCTCAACGTTGCAACCTGTGACAAGGCCTTCACGAAGGCAGAGGAAAGCTCGGAAGCAAGCAGCTGGACGAGACTCTGATTCACATGTTCCTCAACAACCTGCGCACACTCCACTTAGAGCCCCTGTTTTACCAGGTCTTTCTCCTAAGGTACCACGAGATGATCCTCCCCCGAGCCGAGAACAAGCTGCTCAAACTATGCCCATGACCGGCGAGTCCAAAACCGGCAAAGGAGCTGACGCTGGCAAGTCCAAAGCCGGCAAAGATGTTGAGGCTGGCAAGTCCAAAGCCAGCAAAGGGAAAGGTGACGGCATGCTCAAAGCTGGATCCGACCATGGAAGCTCGAAGAATGCTGGCTGGCGCGACGAGATGTTGAAGTCCATGCACGGCGTCCACAACAAGTCCCAACAAGAAAAGCCTTGGGACATCACCAAAGGACCTGCACCAGGTCTGAAGTATCGCGGTGGATCACCTCCTTTGCCACCGGCATGGGATGCTCAGAAAGGCGACCTTCAAGCCTTTCAGCGCTGGGAGAGGAAGCTTGCTTTGTGGCGCCGCCAGATTCGAAGCTATTTGCCCCCGAATGAGGCCTCCATGTACCTCTTCGTGAACCTCGGCGGCGAGGCTGCCGAAGAACTCGAGCACTGCGACCTTGACAAGGTCGATGGTCCCAGGGCATCGAGTGATGGTGAAAGGCATATACCTCAAGAGAAAGCTCCTGGACGACTTCGAACGCCTCTCACGGCGTGCCAACGAGAGCATTCGCTCCTTCACGAACCGCTACCATCGCTGCGAACGCAGCCTAGCAGCTGTTGGAGTACATGTCAACCACATGTACGATGAAGAGGCCGCCGGCTCCAGACTCTTGGATCGAATGCGCTTAAGCGCTGAAGCCCAAAGGATGATCCTTGTTGCTACATCCAACTCCATCCGCTATCAGGATGTGAAAGAGGCGGCCGAGACGCAGTTCCCTGAGCATCGTGCAGTTCCTGCTGTGGTCTACACCCGGGACTTTGAGACCCACACCAAAGAGCCTAGAGAGCGGACTGACCAACCTGTCCGTGATCAAGGCAAGTCAAAGGGCAAAGGCAAGCATAAAGGCAAGAGCTCCAGCAAGTCGAGCTCTTCCAACACCTTTGTTCGCTCCTCCTATCTCACTGAGGTTCCCGAGGGTGACCAAGCTGACGAGGAGCAGGGCACGATGGAAGAGATGCATGAAGATGAAGGCGAACAACCGCCTGATGAGCTTGAAGCTGAACCTCACGACCCTGATGGTGAGGATGAAGCAGAGGCCGACGCCGACATGTCGGACCTTGATTTGGCAGCTCACTGCCTGACGGTGACAGCCCGTCGACTTTCGGGCATGCGCCTTGGCAGGAAGTTTTCTGGTGGTGGCAAAAGCATTGCTCAACGCAAAGCCGAAAGCCACTGTGCCGTTTGTGGTCAAAAAGGCCATTGGCAAGGTGACAAAGAGTGCCCTCAGTCCGGTGCTCCTTCAGGTGATGGCAAGCCCAAAATGGGCAAAGATGATTCCAAGACCAAGGGGTCTGGGAAAAAGGTGCTTTTGACAGTTGCTCATCCCGATGGATGCAATCGTTCGGTGACCTTCAACACTGACACCAACGACAAGATGGAATCCCCCTATGGCACCTACTTTACCTATGTGGCCACTTCATCACCAACGATGCCTCCATCGAGACCCTTGGGATCGGGATTGCGCCAGGTTTTTGGTGCTAACATCACCATGTTCAACCACCACCTGATCCTCGATACTGCATGCCAGAAGACGTGCTGCAGCAACACGTGGTTGGAACTTTGGTCACAACATGTCAACCAGTTCCGCTTCCGCTCGAAGACCCCGCCCAGTCGTGAGCCGTTCGAGTTTGGTCATGGCCCTACTCAGTTTAGCTCACTTCATGCACTACTACCGTGTTGTTTTGATGCCACGGAATCTTCATGCTGTTTGTTGGGCACCTCCGTTCTTACGACCTCCAACGACATCCCATTGCTTGGAAGCAACACCCTCTTGAAGGACAAGTTGAAAGCTGTTTTGGATTTGCCCAACCAATGCGCCTTTTTGAGTGAGTTTGATTGCACCGTCCCCATTTGTTTGTTGAATGGCCACCTGGCGTTTGTCATTGCCATGTTCACCAAGGCCTCCCACCGTTGTCCGGTTTGGAAGAAGCTGTCCATGAAGGTTGATTCCGACAGCTTTGATTCTGAGTTTGTTTTCGCAGCCGCTGCAAGTGCTCTCACCGATCGCGTACAAGATGCCCCAAAGACCTCCGGCCTGGCTTCAAGCATGGCGGAATCTGGTGAGGACCCTCCTTCACGCGGAGATCCTCTTGGGAAGAGTGATGAGCCAGGCAGTTCGACTCCGAATTCGACCTCGAGAATGGCTGGCCCATCAAGATCCACTGCTCATGGATGTGAAGGAGAAGCTCTACACGAGAGCGATGGGACCATGCCCTCACGACAAGATCACCCGCTACGGCAACCGCCACGGTCGCTACAGCAGGTGCGAGGACTGCAACAAGAAGTGGAAATGGGACGATGCCGCGCAAAAGTGGCTAGAACCAGCAGTTCGAGGCTCGCGGCAGCCGCCGCTGCCTTTACCATCTTCGTCCACGGCGATCAGCTTCGAGGACAAGTACCATACCCCAGCGCTCCGCATGGGCCTCAGTGGACCTTCGAAGGGCTACAAAGCTGCGATGGAAGCCATCAAGGACCGGGAACAGGTCAAGAAGCCTTCCAAGTCCGCATCGACAAAGCCCAAGAGGACCCACGAGAGCTACGACGTCTACGAGCCCGAGGAGATTCAGACGGACGAGAGCTTCGAATGGGACAAGGTAGATCCGCTGTCTCCTTGAAGGCCCCTTCCTCGAGCACGCCGGCATCCACACCTATGACCGTGAGGATCCAAGGTTGTCCTTTGGACAACTTTGCTGCAAACGACATCTCCATGTGCCGTTTGTATTTTTTGTTGTTTTTGACCATATATCTCCTGCAACTGTGTTCTGGTCACTTGGCAATCTCTTTGCTCCCTTTTCTTCCTCAGCAATCTCAGCACTTTCCACCTTGCATAACCAGTCTTTCTGGATATCACGCTTTGCCCACCCACCCGCCCTAGTGCCTGATAGGCATCGCAGACTCTCCAGTGGCATGTCCACATGGGATGGGTGGGCACACTCTCGTGGGACACTCTTGCGGGACACTCTTGTAGAACACTCTTGTGAGGCATTTATGATTCCCGCCCACCCCAGTGATTGCCAAAGTATGGCGTGTTCACTTGCTTGTCGCGCACACGCACGCGTGGAGGTAAGTGCTCTATGGCTCTATGGTTCCCTTTTGTGGTGGCAAGCCCTGAGCACCTGGAAAAAATAAACGCGTTGGACTGCACTCTAGCAGTGAGAGCTGTGAAAAAGAACGAGAACCCTTCGCTACGCAGGAAAACTTTTATCATTAACAAAAGAGGGAAGCGTTGTATATATAGGATGTTATAGGAACACTGAACACCCCAGGGTTTTGGAAACGATCGGCCGCACCGCTTGCCATCTCCAGCGCGATAGTTTTTATGGATGATGTCTATATGTATGGTCTTTGTTACAAAATGTTACAACTATTCCCACACCCGATCACCCATCAAAACTATAGCGCCGCCCTCCATGCATTGCCACCGCGGGTGGCTCTTTTTTGCTGCGTGGCGCAGCTCGGGTGAGCAGTCCTGAGAGGATGGTGCGGGGGTTGGAATCACAAGCCCGTCCGTGAGTCGGTGTTTGGAGAACATTCTGGCTGACAGCCCCTTTGTTAGTTCTGTTTTTCACCGATTCACCATGGCTTTGGCTGGCATGGATTCCACTTGGAAATCTTTGCGCAGCTACGCTTAAAGAGTTTGCGAGTTCATGCTGTCTCTTCAATGTTTTTCCCACTGCATCCCAATGCAATGAGCCTTAGGTCCAGGACGCATTG